GTGGAGCCAAATGGATGTCAGTTTTGAACCTGAGTATGGCTTATCATGAGATGTCTATGAATCCAGCAGATAAGGATAAGACTGCATTTTCTACACCCGGAGGTGGTTCATACCAATGTGTTACAATGACATTTGGATTGTGTAACGCAGGAGCTACGTTTCAAATAATTGTTGAGACAGCAATGCAAGTATTACAGTAGCACATTCTAGTTTTTTTACCTAGATGATATCATAGTGTTTAGTAAAACATTGTATAAACATTTGGTTAATTTGTAGAAAGTCTTTCAGAGGTAATCAGATGCTGGATTAAAGCTAAAAGCCGCTAAGTGTTGTTTAAAACACGAGGTAGAGTCTCTCGGACATACTGTGTCAACAGAAGGGATGCAGATGGGTCCTTCTAAGATACTGGTAATAGTCAAAATGGAACCCCTGACAACTGTTTCCGAATTAAGATCGTTCATTGGACTGGTTTCTCATTACAGAAGATTTATGAAGGATTTTTCGAAGATTGCCATGTGTCTTTTTGACTTATTCCAGGTAAAAGCTCCTGGGAATGGACAAGTGATTATGAAAAAGCTTTCCGTTTACTTAAAGAAATGCTTTCAACCTATTATGTACTTGCACATTCAGAAATCGTTGGAAAATAGTTTATATTGGATAAAGATCCAAGTCATTTTGGAATCGGAGCAGTTTTGTCTCAAGTTCAATAAGGACAAAACAAGATGATATGATACGCATGCAGAACTTTAAGCAAAGCTGAACGGATTTTTTGTGTAACACAAAAAGAACATGTGTAACACAAAAAAAAACTGTTAGCTGTAGTTTACGTCATTAAATATTTTTAACATTGCTTAGTTGGTCGTCGTTTCATACTGAGAATGGACCATGGTTCAATTACTTGGCTTTACAAATTTAAAAACCCAGACGGGCACTACAATGGATACATCAACTTGGCGTTTACAGACCAGCTTCGAAGCATGGAAATGTTGATGCACTTTCTAGAAAAGTTGTGGAAAATAAAGAATTCTGTAAACCGTGGGATTATGTATATAACAATTCAAAACATATAAGTGATTGGAATACAAACCGTTGTGACACAAGTGATAGCATAAATATTATTGATCAACCGTGGAAATCTCAAAATTCACAAATTATTAGTGCTACATGTATTAACGAAAACGGCAAAGAGGAATTGAATTCTGAAGATTTTTGGAATAGAAAAATACCGAAAAGTAATGGACCGAACAAGGAAAATGGTGTGAAAAAGATATAATCGAAATTTTGTACATGTCTTTGGGTAATAGTGACTGAGATTGCACTTCTTTATTAGTGATGACGCATGGAAAGTCTTTTTCCGTTTTTATTCAACTTATTACATTTGAAGGCAACAATTATTGTTTATTAGGCACCTCCTGGTTGTCGTTCTTTTTGCTTAGATTACTAGAGTATTCATCACTTTCAAAGCTGACGAACAACAAAAAAGTAAACAACAAAAATAACCTTTCAAACGAAAATAAATCTAAGTTGGGATGTAGATTAAAAATATAAATATAAGATATGGATGATTGCACTATAGATACACGACAGCCTTTTACTAGTATTAGTTATCATGTGGAAAATTATATAAAATAAAATCTATGAAATCCAATGATTTTGCTATTTTGATAGATTAACGATGTTTTAGAATTTTTTTTGTGAGTGAACAGAAGCTATATCCATATAGAAATATCTAAAATAAACAACCATTGTGTATTTAAGTAACGTTACTGAATGAAGGATTTTATTGCATTATGGGAGGAGAGACGTTAATTTCATTTCGCCCGAGAGTAGGAGGTTCCACTGGACTTCAACTTAGATGTATATAAACACAGATCTATCTGATTTGTGTAAGTGACAAAACATAATTTTACCTTCATCAGGTACGCTCGAGACCGTTGTGTTAGTGGTAAGACGGATTCAAGAGACACATTTATTAAATTCATATTCAAGTTTTATAGTTGTCAATAATCTTTAAGTATTTCCTTTTCGAGTAAAATTCTATATGTTTTATTAATAAGTTATATATGATATGGCATTTTAAATTGTTTAATATTTGTGTTAGGAACAAAAATTATCCGCATACAGAAAAATTCTCTATTTTAAAATGAGTCAATATCAAGGGAGAAAACTCTGTCATATTATGAATTTCGAGATATAGCATCTGGGACTATTCGTCAATATATTTTGTCCCAGATATCATATATATACATAGTGTCACATTAAAAAGAGGGTAAGAGTTCCATATGGCACCCCCGCCATACTAAAAGAACATAATAATGTATTACAGTTTATTCCGTGGGGGTGCCATATGGAACTCTTTCCCTGGATCTATTCGATACAAGATTCAATGCACTAGACCCAGAAGAGCGGCAATCTAATCAGGGGCGGATCCAGCCATTTTTAAAAGGGGGTCACAACCCAGGATAAAGGGGGAGGGGTTCCAACCATATGTCCCCATTCAAAAGCAATGATCGTAATAAAACAAGGGGCTTACCGGAACTCCCCCCCCCCCTTGGATCCGCCACTGCTAATTATAATTCCGATCTATCGAAACTCGTTTACTTTGCATAGTGTTTTAGCTGAAACATAACCATGCAAACTGGTGTCACATATACCGTTGAGATGTTTGCAATCTTTTGTGTTATGAAGCTGGTGGTGATGATATGCGGATAAGAATTATTCTTGAGGTGACCAGATCGCCGTTATAGCAATAAAATCAAAATAGGATTTATAAATTTCCGCGAAACAAATAATAACCCATAGAGGACTGGGACTATTCGATACAAGATTCAATGCACTAGACCCAGAAGAGCGGCAATCTAATCAGGGGCGGATCCAGCCATTTTTAAAAGGGGGTCACAACCATGGATAAAGGGGGAGGGGTTTCAACCATATGTCCCCATTCAAAAGCAATGATCGTAAAAAAACAAGGGAGCCTACCCCCGGAACCCCCCCCCCCCCCCTTTGGATCCGCCACTGCTAATTAAAATTCCAATCTATCGAAACTCGTTTACTTTGCATAGTGTTTTAGCTGAAACATAACCAAACTGGTGTCACATATACCGTTGAGATGTTTGCAATCGTTTGTGTTATGAAGCTGGTGGTGATGATATGTGGATAAGAATTATCCTTAAGGTGACCAGATCGCCGTCATAGCAATAAAATCAAAATAGGATTTATAAAGTTCCGCGAAACAAATAATAACCCATAGAGGACTGGGACTATTCGATACAAGATTCAATGCACTAGACCCAGAAGAGCGGCAATCTCAGGGGCGGATCCAGCCATTTTTTTAAAGAGGGTCACAACCCAGGATAAAGGGGGAGGGGTTCCAACCATATGTCCCCATTCAAAAGTAATGATCGTAAAAAACAAGGGAGCCTACCCCCGGAATACCCCCCCCCCCCCTTTTTGGATCCGCCACTGCTAATTAAAATTCCGATCTATCGAAACTCGTTTACTTTGCATAGTGTTTTGGCTGAAACATAACCAAACTGGTGTCAGATATACCGTTGAGATGTTTGAAATCTTTTGTGTTACATGAAGCTGGTGGTGATGATATGCGGATAAGAATTATTCTTGAGGTGACCAGATCGCTGTCATAGCAATAAAATCAAATTAGCCTTTCAAGACGTCATAATTATTTGGACTACTGAAACAATACAGAATGATTTAATTTTGGATGTTACACTATGTGACGTCTTCTGATTGGCTGAAAATATTTTGTCTATCAGCTCATAGACATAATTTTGTCATGTGACCGTGACGTCATCAGCGTTTTTTCATGATTTACTCCTTAAAATGGAATTTAGAATTAAATTATAAGGAATTACTGTGATATTTTTTCTGTCTATTCGAAATAACCTCAAAAATGTGGTGCACACTTTTAATAACCCGCTACGCCGGTTATTCAGTGTGCACCACATTCTTTATGTTATTTCTTCATAGACAGATCAAATACTACAGCCATTCCTTAAATGCAACAATTTCCTTATTGTATCATTAATGTTATGATAGTGTTTCGTGAATGGAAGGATTTTGTTATACATAGTCACATAATGTTGACCCAGCTCGACAATGTTCACATAATAAAGACTGAGCTACACTGAACTCAGAATGATACGTCCAACCATGTCGACACAGAGAATATTGAACAAGTGCATGACAAAAGCTACTATAAACACAATTTTGTCCCCGGGTAAGAATTTTGACTCTATTTATCATGTTAAACTGTGATTTTTCCCCTATTAGGCCTAATCCCCACATAGGTTGAAAACAGTCAGATTTAAGAAAAATCTGTTGTCATACACTGAAACCTCTTATTAACTGGAAGACAATTTCTAAAAAAATTCAATGAATACAACATATACAAGTGAAAAGTGTAACCCCATTTTTTTTATCCTAGCTAGTGCGAAAGTCATAGCTGCTACAAACCAACCCCAATCATACATTGTTATCAATAATTCAAAGACAGAAGGCAACAAATCAGACTTAAATTCCAAATTTCTATTTTTGTTGGGGTTAACAGATTTCAGCTATTGACCTCCATATATGTCGAAGTTCCGTTGTAAATGTGCCGAAAGTTCTTGTCATCAAGAAGATGGGACAATTTAAACACATCCATTCAAATTATAGGACATTTGGAAAAAGAAATACAAGTGTGTAATTTTATGCATCATGTAGAAGCACATTTTTTGGCCGGTTATGCGTAGCTCATACTATAAGACCTACCACAAATATGAACGGAAAACGTGGCAAAGGATATTTAAAAAGAATTCACAGATTGAATAAAACATAAATAAAGGCAAATAAATCACAAATTTTGGAGATACATTTTAAATTCACTATAAATAGAAAAGGGAAGAAAATCAAAGGTTTTGATTAGTTTTAATAAATGTCTGGTATCAACTTGTGACACGTGTTTTACGCACTGTAATCATATGATAACTTATGCTATCACATGTTGTCATATACAAATATATAAATATTAAATATTAAATCGTCACAATTTTAAACAATTTGTTTATAATGAAATTAATTTTATATTTCACGGCAACATTTGTGTCGGCTTCTTTGGCTGCGATTGACCTAGATGGTCAATGGAATCAGTGGAAAACGAACTTCAACAAATATTACAGTACTTCAGAAGATGAAGATAACAAGCGTGTCGTTTGGGAGATGAACCTGGAATATGTTAATGCCCACAACAATGATGTACAGTCAGAATTCAGATTAGCAATGAATGAATTTGCAGACCAGGTGGGTTTTTACGTTAATGTATCTTAAAGGTGAACCGTGCATAGATGTAAAGCCATGATAAATGAAATCCTTGTGTTCGCTTAAAAGTATATCGAAATGAATAAACACAAAACATAGCTAATATTCAGATCAAGAAATACAAAATTGAGATAGAATACTCTCGGTCCATATAAATCTTTGTTTCTTCCTTTTTCATGTTTTGGCTAGATTGGACTTTTAAAACCCCACCTTGACCTATTACCATGCAAGCCAGTGTCATTAATCCTCGTCGTTCGTCATCTTCTCTGAAACTACTGGGCCAGTTTCAACCAAACATGGGCTGTATGATCTATTGTTTTTTCAATGCTAAGCCATGTCTATTGTTGGCATAGCCGCTAAATGAGAACATAGGTTTAAATGGATTAATTATCTTGAAAATCATAATTGATCGAAAGAAATGCCCAAAATGTCAGGATCATATACTTCCATTTCCACAAAAGATATTAGATTATTACTTATATCAGTAATTTGATTGCCCTTAAGGATATTCTCTAGTCTTGTTTTTGACTTTTTGTCAGTTATTCGGAATCCTCTGGTTTTATCTATGTGGTGCAATTTAAAAATTGTGCCCTCCTAACACGACTTTTGTTTACAATATTTTTTTACATATAGTTTTAAAAAGCCATTTTTGAAAATCTTTTTTATTCCTTGTTATTTTTCATAGTTTTTGAAAGAAAAAAATGTTAATTTTTATGAAAACTCTAGAGAGAATCATTTCCCGCCAAATTTTCAATGGCTTGTATCTCAAAAACAAGGACCTTGCATTATTTTCTGCTTTGTAAATTCCGTTATATATGTACTATCAATTTATAAAAGTCGTTTAAAAAGCTTGTTATTTTGAAACAGAGTAGGGAACATCCTTAAATGACGACTTGTGACTTATTTTCGTGTTTTTGCCTATAATCTTTAAAACTAATATAGATAGGCAAAACTAAAAACAGCAAAAATGATTTGCAATACAAGATGTACAACAATGCCGATAAAACCAAAACCCTAAAACGACTTCCTCTGTGAGTAATTGTCCTAAATTGTCATTTTTGGGGCACAATATAGCATTTTCACATTTTATCTTGAGAGATATAAAAGATAGGCAGACACTTTAAACCACAAAACTTCAGCAAATGATCTACAACAGAGATTATATGATTTAAACCATCAATTGACACATAGGAGTTATTGCCCTTAAATGACGATTTTGAAAATGTTTTGTGTTCTTCCACATCAACGAGTAAGTATATATAACAGATAGACAGAAACAGCCAACAGAAAAAAATATCACCAATACGAGATCTACAAATTGATTTTTTTTAACCGAAACCATCAGACGACTTCTTCAGTGAGTTATTGTCCTTGACAGACGATTATTTAGCAAATTTTACCGGTTTTTCTTATTATCATGAATGCAATTATATAAAACAAAAAACTGTAAAGGGCATAATTGATCATAATTCAAATGATTATCAACACGAGAACTACAGCAAGCACCTTTATGACTGAAAACACAAATTGACTCCTTACATGACCACTTGCCCTTGAATGACGATTTTTGACATTTTTTTTTTTTATTTTAGCTTTTTATTTTGAATATTATGATAGATACACAGAAACTGCAAACAGCAAAAGTAATCAGAAATACAAGATTTTAAACAATACCGCTATGAATTCGTAACCATCAACTGACTCCATATAAGAGTTATTGATGACAATACGTGTTACGTTCTCATATCGAATGGTTGATCGATACGATGTGTCTGTGTCTCTATTCACTAGCGCTCTAAGATCAGTCTTCTAATCTGTTATTTTGTCAGATTGTGTCTTATTACCGATTGTGACTTTTGACTGAATGTTGATTCGCTTGCCCAGTGACGCATGCATGACAAGTCGGTAACCCTGTCGACACTACCGGTCTCTTTCCTCTTGGAGTTCATGCGATTCCTCCCCTTTTTTGTTTGTTACCTTCTCAACCGAATTTAAATAACTCATTACTCATTGTGAAAAAAAAAAATCATACTCTAACTACAGTAATTTACTGTTGCCTAAATTTACATCTACGTCATTTGGCCTCTGCATGGTGCGTATAGTTGTCTGATTGGCAATTATACAACATTGTCATTGGCAATTATACAACATTGTCATTGGCAATTATACAACATTGTCATAATTGCACGATTTATTATTACAGGAACCTTCAACACGCCCACAGATTAAAACTGATTCTGTAAGAGTGTATGAAGACATTGAACACAATTGGACTTTTTTACCGGCGACTTTCGATTGGAGAACAAAAGGTGCTATAGGTCCGGTAAAAAATCAAGGGCAGATGGGACAAGTACTCCCAATTGCAGCAATAGGTGATATTCTTGAAAATTCCATGTTATCTTTTATATTCTATTCCCATCTAGCTGTGTGATATTTAAAAACTAGTGTATTTTTTTTTAAATATTGTTGTTTTCTTTTAAGTTTATAGTTGTTTTTGGATTCAGCTTCTTCAAATCAAGTTAAATGGTTTTTAAAGCCAGTAGTTTATTATGTTCTGTCTTTAATCAACTTTTCTTACATTCTAATTTTTTTTTTCATTTCGAAAAGTTAATTTGTTTTCATATCTTAAAATCAGATACAAATATATACATATAAGTTCTTTAACGTACCTTTCATAAGCACATAAGATGGAATGTTGAAGTTTAAGATCGCCAGGTCTGCACTTGCCTGTCCAAAGCCAGGAGCATTTTAACGAGTGGTTTTTTATCAAATCTCGATGTCGTTTATTCTTAAGTTTGAGTACAGTAGTTTCAGGTTCGAGGGCATATTAATTTTCTTACATTTGCCTACAGAATTAAATTGCAGGTGTGTGCATTTGAATACGAAAATTATGTAAAAAACAAGAAATCAAAAGAGAGATACACCGATCTAACATTGTTGGGTTTATTTTCATACAAGTATTTATATTCAGGGGAGTAGAAGGTTGAGATTTCTAAAGATGTATTACAGTTGTATTTACCTCTATTAGTTTGTACTTTACCCCCCCCCCCCCCCTTTTTCAACTGTATTCAAAATAAAACCTGAAATGAAAGACGCTGTAATGTAACAATAGCCTGTGCACAAATGAAACGATTTATTTCACTTAGGTCTTAGATGTTATAGTCCTGAACATGCTGAAAAATTTAACTGTTTTCTTTTGCCACAGAAACTATGGAAAGTTATGAATTTATCAAAAATGGACGTTCGATTCCATTAAGCTTGCAAGAAGTTGTGGACTGCTGCATCCATGGTTCTGGGTTGGTGACAACGGTGTTTAATTGTATACACAATATAGGTGGTCTGTGTTCAATGGCAGATTATCCAACACATAGTTCGGCTGGACAGTGCAGAAATACAAGTTGTACGCCTGTTGTACGGGTATGTTATCTCATATCATGTATATACTTCTAACAATTCATAAGTTTTAAATATACTATATTCGGAATGCTATGTACTTGATCTTATATGAAAAACAACTTAAAGATATAGCAAATGTTCGTAACAGACTAGATCTTTATAATTTTTTAATCCTGTGCCATAGATACAAGTTCAGCAATTTATAAACGGCTGTTAAAATTGTTTTTCTTTACCGAACTTCTCTTTATACAAAACATCATCATGCACATATTTATATGGCTGTTTAAGCTTATAATTGCAAATCTAGTACTATGAGCTTTGTATTCGAACAGATTACACAAAAAAACTTGGCTTCTGTACTGTGCACGTTTTTTATTGCGTGTTTCGCTTTTACTGCATATAGTCGAAGTAGGTAATCATTGCATGGGGTAGGGGGCTGACGCACGTTAAATGCCTCACCATATTAATTTGCCTGTACCAAGTCAGGCTAGTATCTTGACTTTGTGTTTTTCGTTAAAATTTATCTTTTTCAGCGTCTAGTTTCTCTTCTCGGAAGAGTCGGTTGGTGGTTTTTTATGTGGTTTGTTAATTGTACTGTCAAATATTTTAGGAACCCCTGTTATCCTTTTTATGTATTGTCCAGTCAAAGACGTTACATGGATTACAAAGATCGTTCTTAAACTAGTTGAAGTTTACAAAACAGTTATGAACAGATCTCAACTTCATCTATTTAATCAATTCACGACGGCTTGAAAGTAGTAAAAACTTAACCATATAATTAAATAAGGAATAAGACCTTCTTTTTAATATAGTTTGTGACGTTATACTACCACGTTAAAATGTTATATATTATATATAACGACTACGTTTGTACTTTCAAACTAAGTCCGTGGACCTGGACCCTACGGTCACAAAATATTACTCAGTGCTCAAAATTTGTACACGAAACACCGAATCCAGTACTTAGTTTAGTTGAATTCTGAATCTGAGTACGATAGTCGCAATTCAAATTTATATGACCGCAAGGCCTGGTCAACACCTTCATATTTTACGGTCTTTTTGTGATATTTGATAATCCCAAACGAAACTTTTAACTTATACCAAGCTGATAGATTATCGAAATTATGTATCTGGGATGTCTCAAATATATTACAGTGTTTTCAAATTTACCTTCAAATTAGTTGGGATCAGTTCTATAGCTGCCGTTCTTATTATACCCGCTCCGGGAGGAGGTAAAGAATCAGATCTACTTTAACATTGTTAGGTTGATTTTCTAGTCACTTTATATATATATATATATATATATAGACTTATATATATGTACGTCTAAACAAATGACAACTCTACGACAGATCTATCCATTGGATCACCAGTTAAGGTGATACACGACTGAAAACACATACTATATTCATAATTACTCTAAATATCAGCACAACAATGTTAAATCTGCAAATTTGCGGAATAAAATTTTTGTTCTTCCCTCGCCGGGATTCTAAGTCATGCTATTGGGATATCGAGACAACACCGCCTGCACTGTGTCCAGCGCTCTAGACCACACGGCCACCTAGACTGAACAAATAATTCAGCTTTCGGTGGCCTAGTGTTACCTTTCCTCGTCAGTAGAATCTAGAGTTGTAACACAGTACATGATATATTAGGCATGAAGATGGAATTGATTGCAGATTAGCTAAATATCTATCGTAAAGGATCGTAAGATACAGTCACAGAAATAATAATTTGATAAGTACGACTAACCAAATATATATATATATATATAATTCGTCTCAAATTTAGCCCAACAATGTTAGAGCTGACAATTTGCATCAGCAAACATGTTTATATATATATATATGTTTATTTACTTCAGTAACTCTTAGTTCTAATAGATAATAGATTAAACAATCTTAAGTTAACAAATAAGTAAAGCTAACCTTAGAATTGTTTTTGCTTCAAACATATATTTTTTGGTCTTATTACGTCTACATATATATTAATTGTTCTAATTTTTTTTCGATTATTTCAGAATGTGGGGACAATGGCAGTTGCAGAAGGAAACGAAGACCAATTACAGATAGCCGTGTTACACTTTCCAGTAATGGCAGTTATTGATGCTAGTCTTCCGTCATTTCAGTTGTATCGATCTGGGGTGTACGATGCACCAAAGTGTAGTTCAACAAAACTTGATCACGCAGTTCAGATAGTTGGATACGGTTCAGAAGATGGAAAAGATTATTGGATAGTCAAAAATAGCTGGGGTATGTTATTTGTGGATCTAGATAGGGTTTACAGTTTAGAGAATATTGGGCCATGAACACAAAAATAAATGAGCTAAAAATAAATAGAGAAAAAAGGCCTAAAAATGAATAAGAAAACAACAGGATGCTAGAAAATAAAGAAGAGAGAATAATGGGTAAGTATAAAGAAATGAAGGGGACCTCATTCAGAGCCTTTTATAGCATCTAGTGCGTTAAAAAGGCTGCCGAAATTTGTATATTTGTCATTTTCTGAATATTGATAATGAAGAATCTTATAAATCCGTTTCAAAATAATGTATCTTCATACTATTTCATATAACTGATGTTTGTCCAGTTAATTTAAAACAACAACAACACCAAAATATTATATGAACAAATATTTTTAGACGGCGATGTTCCTTTGGCTCCATCATACGATGTTTATATATCCCAACTCGTTCGTTATGCCCATGTGTGTAGTGATGCCATAGATTTTAACGAACGTAATCAATGCATCACTGGTAAATTGTTAAGTCAGGGATTTCGTTACCATAAATTACGTAAAACTTTTGCTAAGTTCTTTCATAGATACAAAGATTTGATTAGTAAATTTGGCTGTACTTGTAGAAAACTGATTAAAAACGGTATTTCACATCCTAAATTTTACGGTAATATTGTACTTAAAGCGCGGAAATCACTATGTGATCCGTGTAAACTCATCGAACCTTTAAACAAACTTATTAGTAAAGGTTATCTTACCAATGTTATAATTAGATCTTTGAATATAGTTTACATTGGCACTAATATCGATTTTGTCATCAGCAAATTAAAACATAACTAAATTTGTATTCTTTTCAAACGGGATGTATAAAGACACACCCACGTTCGTTTTGATCTATAAAGAGGTTAAACTCCTAACTATCCTACTGTTTGTCGATACATTTATTTTTGGCATTGCACTTGTCATGTCTTCTTTGACTGTCCATGACGTTAAAATACTAAATCCCTGGGATGTGTTTTAGTTGATTTTAGTCACCTGATGCATGATTTTTTTTATTATTAATTGTTTTGGCTTTAAACTAGCTGTCAGTAACTGCGAGTACTCTCAAATCGTACTTTCTTGTTTATTTGACCTGTTGATACTAATTGTATAGCTTTTTTGTTATTTAATGTTATTCAGGGTTATATCTGGTCTTTATACCAGCTTTGATAAGTGTTTGGTATTACTATAAATTTTCACTTCGTACTATGAACATCAGATTATTTATTTTGTAAAAATATGTCCTTTCTCTATTGGAACTGTACACGTATACCTAACAACAAAATTATTTTCATTTACCTGTGTTTAAAGTTATTGCAAATGGCTGATATTTTTGTTCGAGCATATTGATTTCTTTAATTGTTTAACATTTCATACCGATATAACATGTTACTTTTATTATTCTTCCCTTAATTTATTTATTTTGTATTTACATTGTATCATAGGTCAAATTTATTTGTTCAATGTATGTTCAATGGTGTTAATATGTCCTTTGATTGAGTTAAGCTATTTCAGTTGATATTTTATAGTGTGTCTTTCTATGTTGTGATGATACACTATTGTTTCAGAAAAAGGGTGAAGGTTTGGTACCATTAAAACGTTTAAACCCGCTGCATTTGTTTGCACCTGTCCTAAGTCAGGAATCTGATGTTCAGTAGTTTTCGTTTGTTGATGTAGTTCATAAGTGTTTCTCGTTTCTCGTTTTTTATATAGATTAGACCGTTGGTTTTCCCGTTTGAATAGTTTTACACTAGTAATTTTTGGGGCCCTTTATAGCTTACTGTTCGGTGTGAGCCAAGGCTCCGTGTTGAAGACCGTACAGTGACCTACAATGGTTTACTTTTATAAATTTTGACTTGGATGGAGAGTTGTCTCATTGGCACTCATACCACATCTTCTTATATCTATTGATTAAAAAAAAAACACCCTGAATTTTATTTCAATTGTCATTCTCTTTTCATATCGAGAAAATCGAAATGCAACAATAATGTATAGAAGCAAAACAAATAAAAAGGTCATTGTGTTGTATGTTTTAGGTGTAAACTGGGGAATGCAAGGTTACATCCTGATGAGCAGGAATAAGAATAACCAGTGCGGTATTGCCTCTGACGCCACCTATCCTGTCTAACAAATACTACAATTAATGTGGTATTGTCTTTGATGCTATCTATCCTGGTTAACACATACTGCTTGGTTAAATATGTTATCATCATGCAAATAAAACACAAAACTAATAGTAATGTTTATGTCTGCCTGCGATGCATTTTTATTAAAAAAAGAAAATCAAGTAATATTTTTGCATTATGTTCTTTTTTCAAGAATCTAAAAAGTGCAGAAAAGGCTAGCAGATAGCTTTACTTGCTTAAATATGTGCAACTATCCACATTGCGAAGCAGATGAACATAGTAATGTCAATGTCAACTTCAAGGCTTCGCTGTGGAGACAGTTCCGGCGGCAAATCACACCAGCCAGGAACTAAAACGACGCGATCACATTAATAAAAACGAGGCCAAGGTCAGATGAACCCTGCCAGACAGACATGTACACCTCAATAATTACATGCTTTAAATATAGTTGACCTATCTCATAAAGTATTTAAGAAGGAAAACTTAAGATTGACCAATGAACTATGAAAATGAGGTCATGGTCAGATGATAATTGCCGGACAGACATATACACCTTACAATACAATCATTCCATACACCAAATATAGTTGACCTATTGCTTATAGTATTAGAAAAACAGACCAAAAAACAAAAACTTAACATTGAGCAATGAACCGTAAAAATGAGGTCATGGTCAAATAAAACATGCCAGACTGACATGTACATTGTAAAATATTTTCATACACCAAATATAGTTGACTTATTGTAAACAGTATTAGAAAAACAGACCAAAGCACAATAAATTGCTTCGCTGAGCGCAGCTGGATACGACCGCAGATGTCCAACCCTGAAAAGTTGGGCCAAAATGGACATAATATTCACGCTTGATACAGGTCTGAATTTGGATTGTAACTAAATTTTTGACACATAATAGGTTTCTGACACAGAATAACTGTAGTCAAAGAACTTCAAATTGGTTATATGATTTGAATTTATATTCAATTTATTGCTTTTGTGCAATATACTATGCTGTTGCGAATTGACCCCCCAGGCATGGGGTAATGCAAATTTGTAATTGTAATGCATGGTAATGCATTACATTTTTCCAAGTAATTGCATGTAATGTGTAATGCAGCAATTTGTGCATTACATGTAATTGTAATATAATGCATTACTTTAGCAAAAAGTTGTGTAATTTCATGTATTACATGGCATTACATGTCATTACTTTTTTCACATACTACATCTTTAACATATTGTTGGAGTTTTAGATAAACCAATTTTAAGATTTCTTGATTAACTAAGAATATGTTATCATTAGAATATATTCTTTATTTCATCTTATTTCATACATTTTCCCTCATAAAAAGATTGATATTTGAAAAGCATAGCTGTATTGTTGTCATAAGATAAAAGAATATCTTTGTTTTGCTTAAATAAAAGATAATTAAACTTTGTTATAAAACACTAATTAGTTTGTTTAACAATCAATATTTTCACCATTTAGACAATTGTTCATTAATTAAGGTCTATGTTTATTTTATAATTAGGGAAGTAATTCACAGTAATTAAATATTTCGTTTAAAATTAAAAAAAAAACAACAAAAAATATGATTTATAAAAGTAAAGTCAACATTAAGTTAAAATAATTAAAAATTGTAAAAGTCAAATTAAATAGACTTTTTACATGTATACCTGTATTCAATTCATGGAACAGTTACTGCATATGCTAGAATCTTTTGTGACTTCTAGTTGTTTTTTTAAATGTTTAATTTTTCTATTCACTAATAAAATTTTCAAATGTAATGTGTAATTCAAGGCATTACTTTGCAAAAGTAATTGTAATATAATGCATTACTTTGATAAATGCATGTAATTGTAATTGTAATATAATGCATGGTTTGGTCAAAGTAATTGTAATATAATGCATTACATTGCAATGTAATTCGCCCCATGCCTGGACCCCCCCTCTACCAAAAAAAAAAAATATTTTACCCCGGTTTTTTGCTTAATTGTGCAATACACTATGCTGTTGAATATTAAACCCCCAAAAAAATATTTGAAGAAATTTTCTTTTTATTTCTGAAATCTGAAATGAGAAAAATTGTCCCCCCTCCAATTTTTTTCACCTCCCCCTTTCCCTTATTCCCCAAAAAAATTCTTTCCCTCAAGATATGATCAGTATCTTAATTCAAATTTCTAATGCAGTTTGCAACCAAAATTACCCATTTAAATACATCATAAAAGTTTTAAAATATAAAATGACATACATAGTCATGGCTAAAATTAATATTAATTAATAGTAACTACTAAAAATAAATTGACAGCTAATCACCTCAAGACAGTCATCATTTCTTAATACATAATTTACAAGCAGTGTAAGGGAGGTAATCAAACTGTTCTTTGATTTGAATTGGATTACCTCCCTTACACTGATTTTAAATCGTCTCAATTGTCCTTTAACCAGAAAAACCCTTGTTTTTCCCCTTTTTTGCCCCTAATTACTAAATGGTTTGAGCCATAACCCCCCAAAGTCAATCCTAACCATCCCTTTGTTGTATGGAAGTTTGTGGTATAATTTCAGAGAGGTTCATACACTTTAACCCTCTTGATGCCACATTAAAAAAATCAACGTTTCGACGTTGCCAATTGGCAATGACAATTTGACGTCGCCAGTACCAAATTCTTTTGACGTCGTCTTTTTGGCGTTTTTTTTTTTCTCATATTGATTTATAAAGTTGTTTTTCTACGCGACCGACATTCACAATAGCGGTGACCAGGAGATCATTTTGATAATGCTTAATTGACCGATTAAAATCTTTCCATACAAATTTGCTTCTTGATGGACCAAGGAGACTCATGAATGTAAAGTTAACTGATAAATTTTTGAAAATACTGTTGAATTTGTGCAATTTACGTGTTAATTACTTTACCCATTTAAATTTTCGACTGATATAATTCTCCAAAACGCAAGACCAATTATTAAAAGTTCTTTTTTTAATTGCAAGGGAATATTGTAAAGTATTATGCAATACGTATTTGCCACCTACACTTTTGGCTATATATTTTCATATCATAACAGTTTTTAAAAAGATATTTTAGGGTTTTATCTTCGATTGTTTTTGTTTTCTACTGATGTGAACATTGATATTAATATTTTGCAAACTAATTTGGGTAAAATATATGACAAACTTCGGGATGAAAAATTATTGTTTATATCACCAGTAAAAGATAATTGTCCAAGGACAAATATTACTTATAAACATATTAGATTTGTGATAATTTTTTTCTATTAGTTGATTGAAATCAAATTAGAAATAACTTTATAAAATTTATATTTAAAAAATGTAATATATAGCCAAAAGTTGTTCGTGAAAAATACTTCTCGGCCACTGTATAAAAAGGAGTTGTACATAATTTCTTCTAAAAGGGTAATGAAAGGTCAGTTATAATCGTTTTTCCCCATGTTCAAGAACTTTTATTTTTCTATAAGTAACATTTTGATTTAACAATTACCGATAAAAAAGAAGGCGAGTAATGTCGTGATATTTTAACCTAGCAACATTGTCCTGTGCTGTCTCTATACATAAACCATGTGAGCAGTAGTCTTTTTTTTTATATTACATGTAAGAACATTTTTTTCTTGCATTTAATGTTTAGGGATAAATTCAGAAGACGGTCTTAAATTTATCTTAACTTGTCTCGACACGGGACTATTAAATATATGAAGTTATATAGATGTGATTGCGTATTGAATGTTTGTCAACCTCTGTTTGTCATGATTTTTTTTAATTTATTGTGTCTTTTGATGTAGGCCTATACCACTTCTTTTTATCTTGGAGATGGGGTATTGAAGGTAACAAGATTCCTTTTGTGTAAATTTCTGTAGAACAACCTCAATTTCAAAAACATACAGCAAATAAAAAACAGTATGAAAGAAAGTATTGCCCGTAACTATTATCGAAAATAATTTAAGTACCCATACTCCTTGTATTCTTCATCTGCAAAACAACTTATATCATTTCTAAATGGTATATTTTACATTATTAACCGAATCAAATGGTTAAAAATAGTTCCAGATTTTGGAGGCCGTAATAACCGCTGCTGGTTTTGTGTAAAAAAAAATGTGCCAGTAGAGAGTGTCTCCTCTTATATATCTTTTCGTGTTCTCTTCTAACGAATGCATAGACATTGGGTGTTCATTTTGTATTTTTTAATGTGAATCATAGCACAGAGAAGTACGATTATCGACAAGATCCTTTTAAGTTAAATTACAAAAATGAATTTCGAACACTCGGAGAACATATTGTTTCATCAGTTTATTCTCTATAATTTATTTATGAATATTTCATGACCAGGTCTGTGGTATCTGTTTAGTGAAATTCAAATCCCTAGCTTCTGTTAAATCCGGAAAAGTCAGACTTCAAATAAAAAATACTGGTCCCTCAGGCTTTAAAATTTCAAGCTGGATACAGATGGTGCATGCATGGCTAAAAATACCAAAATAATGTCAAAAACATTCAGTAACTTTCATTTTTTTTCAATAAATGATTAAAAACTTGTGTGTTATACTTGAACATGAGTATGAATAAGCCATATAGTATTAGAGATGAGGTTTTTCACTACAGTCTAGTCTATATTTAATAAGACCTTATGTAGTATTATGAATTAGGTCATTAATTTTCTCAATTGAATTATTTCACATTTTTTCATTTCGGGGCCTTCTATAGGCGACTAGTGGTATTGTTTTTCTCATCGTTGAAGGCCGTACGGTTGCCTGCAATACTGCTGACATCCACTTCTTTTCAACTTTGGTTTATTGTTGTCTCATTTGCAGTTATACCACATTCCCTTATTTTTATATTATAAGTATAAAATATTGGTCGCTGAACTAAATGACATGCAATTAATTAATCGTAAATTCAGTTTTAAAATAGCTTTACTTAAAATTTGAATTAAATATTTCTTCTATCGACTATGTGAAGCCGACTGAAATTGTCCGTCAATAATGCACCATATAATGTTTAATGACACGATTTCATTCTAAAATGTTTGTAAAATATTTTTCATGCGGTGTTCACACAAATAAAACAGTCGAAGTTCACGAAATATATGTTTGTAAAAAATGGAATTAAACCTTTCCTCCTTCACGACAGGAACTCAGCTAGCAATAATAA